GCAATTATGGCAGTATGAGAGGGGCCTGTCAATCCCCTCTTTCACTGGAGGGCAGTCAATGCAGGCCCCAAGCATGGGTGGAGGAGGAATTTTGTACCACAATTGTAACAGGGATGCTGGGCCTGGTTCCCATCCCGGGTCGCTCCCCATGAATAGGACCGGAGCCACCGGAGCCACCACAAACGCGGAGTTCCTCTCAGACATGGGCTCTTATCCCTGCCTGGCGGTAGGCCGCAGGAAAAAAAAAAAGAAAATAGAAAAATTTCAAAAAAAAGAAAAAGAGAATGCTCCTGTCTATTCATGGGGAGCAGCATGTGCTGGGAGATACTATGTGTTTTTTTTTTTTTTTTTTTTTGGGACAAAAGCTCCAATCTATTCGTGGGGAGAACCACGTGCTGGGAATCGGAACCAGCGTCCCATACTATGTACTGGTTGTTCCTTTTTTCAATAATTTGGGTAGCCCCTAACATTATTTTATTCCTACGATCCCATCATGATTTTAACGCATTATCTGTTTGCATGTCTTTGTGTACTGGTCAGCCTCTTTGGGGGCTGGGTATGTCCAGGTTGCAGCCCTCTTTCTTTCTTTTTTTTTTCTTTTTTTTTCTTTTTTTAACAGGTCCTTATGGTCCTGGCTCCATATTCATTCTGCGGAACGTCAGTCCGATTCCTATTCCCCCTGCAAGTCAAAATATTACATCGTTTTACCCACAAAACGCTTCCTTCAGTCTGGCCGAAGGAACCCTGACCAGCATTGATTACTCCTTCTAAGGAGGATTGACTGTCTGCCTGCCCTGACCACTTGTTCCTCTCAGGCTTCTAGTCAGAGCCTGTCAGATGAGTCCCTGAAATGCGAGAAAAGTGGGGGGGTCGACTCAGTGTAGTGTTGCCGGCGGGAAACCTTATAGACTTCATGATTGTGCTTGGTGCCATTTCTTCCACCTCAACATGTTGTCAACTATCGTCCCCACCTTCCCCCTTAGCAGCCAGTTCCTCATGAAGGTCTTTTTTCTTGGTTGCTTGTCTTTCTGTTCTGTGTCTTATAGAGTTGACTATTCTCCGCCATCTGCTTCTGATTTCCGTCTCTGCCATGCTCAGCAGTAATGACCACATTTCTTCCCTAGCCACCTCTGCACCCTCGATTGTCTGAGTGCATCTGCGTTTCCATATTACCCACAGTGCCAGCTTCCTGAGCAGGGTAAACCATACTTCCCTGCTGCCTGTGATGTTGCTCGGAATGTCAGTTAGGATTAGGATAGAGAGAGGGGGAATGCCAGTGGGTGGCGAAGCGAACAGGATCGACCATAGCTCGAGGACCTTTTTCCATACCCATGTCGCTTTTGGGCAGAAGAGGAGGCAGTGTGGGATGTCTTCGGGAAAGTTGTTACTGCACATTGAGCAGCATTCCGAACTATCAAGGTCGGAATGTTTCCTTCTAGTATGTAGCCACTGGTTGACGGGAAGGTCTGCATGTGCTATTAGCCATTGCAAGCTGTGGATTCTGGTAGGTCTGATGAGAAGGTATTTGGTCCAGGGGATGGTGAAGGGGATCGTGTCACCTAGGTTCAGTATGCTTCTCCATTTCTCTGTCAGCCTTGAATTTGGGTCCCTGGTTTGTAGTCTGAGGTTATGTCCGAATTTTGCGTCATATTACGTTATCGTTCTCGATTTTCTGGTGGCGCCCAGATCCCATATCCATTCCTTTGGGTCAAATTCCAACTCCTTAATGCTGAGTTCCGGCTGGAAGATGATCCAGGGTTTCCTGTGAGAGACTAACCTTCCTGAGAAGGTAGGGGTCTATTTGTTCGTTATGTGGTATTTTATTCAGGACCTCTAGTTCGTAAATGTTGTGTTTGATGATGGGGTAGGATATGAACTTGGCTTGGTAGTTGGCCGGGTCCGGTTTTGACACGAAGCGGTATGCTCTTGTTGGTGGGGTATGTGTGGTGAGCACTCCCCAGTCTCCTGGTTTCCACGTGTGTGATTCTTTAAGGAGGGTCGTCCATGGGGGAGGAATGCTTTGAAGGATTTGTTATAGGTTGGTGGTTAGTAGGTGGCATCCTTTTAAGGATGGGCGGAGGTCCTGTTTGGTTAACCGTTCTTGTCGGTCCTCAGATCACAGATGTTTGATCTGCCATACTCCTCTCTCCACCCAAAACAACCATCTGCGGTTTTTGGCACGGAGAGTCCATGGTCTTCCCTCTGTGTCTTTAATGCAGGGATTGCATAACAGGGGTTGTCTTAGGACTTCCTCTTTGTTGCTCAGGGACCCTTTCTTTTCTGGCATCAATCGGCCCCAGGCCTTCAGGATCGGTGACCAGTAGGGGATGGGCGTAGTGGGGGGCTGATTGGTGGTCCCAAGGTTGATACTCCTAGCAGGTCTTTCGGATTTGATTGCCCATTCCTTTGCCATGATCCAGAACAGGCCCCTCATGTTCGGAGGGGATGCTACCCATGCCAAATTTCTTATGTGGTCTACCGCCATCTTGGTCACAGGAGGGCTTGTTTGGTTAGGATTTTGATTATCCATTTCATTTGGTGGGCGGTCGCTTCCTGTTTAGGGTCGATTATACCTCGTCCGCCTTCGTGTGGTTTCCTGATGACAGTTTGTCAAGCCACCTAGTTTATGCAGGTGGTTCTGCTGGGATCACCAGTCCACATGCAACACCTGGCTCTAGCGTTCAGCTTCTTCAGGTCGTCGTCGGGAGGGGACCAAATGGAAGCCATGTACCACATAATGGAAAAAACTGTTGTGTTGATGATCAGGGCTCTCCCTAGCAGGGAGGTCTGGGCCTTGTTGCGGGTGGCTAGACGGGTTATTGTTCTGGCGATCAAAGTCCCTCTCATACCTTGCCAGATGCCATCTCTGTTATCATAATGCCTAGGCATCGGAGTGCTTGGTCGCCTCTGGTCCATGACATTGGGGTGGATGGGTCCGGAGGTTGGGGGGGGGTGCCTTCTGCTAGCCACCACCCTTCCATTTTCGACCAGTTTACCTTCATTTCTGAGGCGAGTCTGAAGGCTTCAATATCGCAGGCCAGGGCCTGGAAGGAGGAATTATTGATGCGAATGAGGACCGTGAGATCATCTGCGAACATCTCAGCGGTGGGGAGAACGAAACCATGGAGGGGGTTGTGGTTTTGTTCAGCCAGACGGTCTATGGATGGATCCTTGCGGAGGAAAGATGCAACGACTTCCATTATGAACAAAAATATTGGGGGTGCGAGGGGTTGCCTTGACGGACCGATCTCGATATCGGATAGCTTTTTGACAGTATTATGTTTATCTGCACCCTGCCCGTGGCATCCCCATAGAGTACTTTTACCCACTCTCTGAAGTTTGGGCCGACTCCCATCTTCTCCATACAACTATGTAGGAAGTCCCAATTGACTTTATCGTAGGCCTTTTTTGAAATCGAAGAATAGGATCGCCGCTTGCAACGGTTTTTCTGTGATCTTCTTCGCAGCCTCATTTAGAGCCATCACATTATCCAAAATATATCGACCCGGAATGAATCCTGCTTGGTCGATACGAAAGCATTTGTCTGTTAGTTTTATGATTCTGTTTGCTAATGCCCTGGCTAGGATTTTGTAGGGCGATGCGTGAAGTGAGATTGGTCTGTAGTTCTTGAGGTCCTCCTTGTCGCCCTTCTTGTATTTTAGGGAGACTACGCTGGTGCTCAGATATTGACCCAGGCCTGTTTTTTCCTTGCTGTCGTTAATGAAGTTCAGGAGGTCATTTCCTAGTGTGGGGGTTGCAGCCCTCTTTCTGATTCTGAAAAGAAAAAAGAATTGCATAACATAAACCATAGGTTTTGTAATAATTTACTCATCTGCTTCCAGTGGAGTTAAGAGCTCAGGTCTGTATTTCAACAGTGGAGGGGTGTACCAACTGAGCTAGGCCAGTTGCTAGCAGAGGGGAAACTTAAATGGTCATGTCATGTCAGCTGGAAAAAAGGCAAAGGGTCACAGGAATGATTCAGCGTGTGTGTGTGTGTGCGTGCGTGTGCGTGTGTGTGCGTGTGTGTGTGTGTGTGTGTGTGTGTGTGTGTGTGT